TTACTCGAGCAATCGACCACAAATTTTACATTGAACAAGCTCTTTCTCCCTTTAGAAAGAGAATTTTAGTTTTTAACTGAATTTTAACACACGATAGCAATATTATCGACACTCTGCCTAAAATTTTTTATATGTATCATTGAACTGTTTAATTTCTTGCATCTAAAAACAAATTTTACGAGACACTCTTACTTTAAGATTTGGTGAACACCTCAATGCATAGATTAAGCAGCACTTACCCTTCCGTTCACGAAATAACCGTCATTTTCTTTTATCTGCTTTTCCAATCGCTCCATATAGAAAGGAATCGTTTCTCGATTCAATAATTCGATCTTTTTCTTTTTAGATTCTTCGTTGGTTTCATAATGAGAGTTTGTGATTGCTGAAATAAAATTAAATGAAAGAGTAATTTAATAGTTAGATAATTCAAAAATTACGAAAGAGTAAATTGCTCCAACTGGATTGCATTTTGCAAAAAGGAACCGAAAATGCTAAAATCGTGCATCTTCATCCATTGCAATATAACTATTAAAATCCTGAAAAAATATGAAATTTACATAGTAATTTTAGTCCTTAATTTACAGTTTTTATTGAGTAAAATAGAAACTGTTTATAGATATTCAGGTTTTTCTTCCAAGAACAGAGAAGCTGCACAATCATAGCAACATTGCAATACTCCTGGTTCCTTTTTCCGAAATGAAATCCAGTTTTTCTTCCTCTTTTTCCCCTTGAGTAGAAGTTTCGGAATAAATAGAAAGTATACACACTGAATATTATGTTGGACATGACTCAAATTCAGGTTTGATCTCTCAAGCATGGCCTTAAGAACACGAAAATAATGCAGAAGTCGTCACGTTTATTACCTAGCCGCATATCATCAAACGTGCCCACGGTCGAGTCAATTAATAAATCCTCCCAGTCGTCTTTCCCAGCGAGGCCGCATTTTTTAGCATAGTAACGGCAAATCGCAGAAGTCTGAGTGGCAACTTTCCCATCAACTTCCAAAACGGGCAGCTTCCCAAAAGGTGTAGCTGGAGGAAATTTGAAAAAAAAAACA